AATTAAATTAATACAAACTTTATAATTAACAATTTGAGAAAACCCATGTATTCCACGTATGCACTATTATTTTTTTGAGTAAAATCTCACCTCACCCCCCTCCCTAAAAAAAGTACAGTTCGCGATCTTAATTCGGAACTGTAGTCTGTAAGTAATTAACTATTAAATATTGTTTATATAATTAATAAACACATTTATAAAATAATAAAGAAAGGAGGACAGAACAGTCTTATAAATTATTACATATCATTAGAATAGTACGTATATCGTCATGTGGGCAAAATGGCGTGCGTTTGAAAAGAAAAACTGATTGATGATAAATGGTGGTATTTTTCGATTTTATTTTTATTTATTACCGATTTAAAATGACAAATGTGCAATCATATTTTTACTCATATCAGACGTCTGCCGTGACGGTTTATGGTCAACCATAATCGTTCTGTACGAAAATTATGATTGGAATTATTATAGTACAATATTTTTTATTTAATATTATTTTTGTCTATGTATTATAATAAAAAATATGGATCCGATGTGCATATTGTGCACAACGTCTTTAAACTCTTCGTTGGTTTTTTTTTCGTTTCATCTTCGTCAAAATCTATTTATCTACATAATTATCATAACGTACACATTATATAATAGTTTGTAGTCTCGCGACATTAAAACATCATAAATATTCATCGTGTAAAACTGTGAACAAACGATAGATGATACTATTATTATAATACATTTATACCATATGCGCTGCGTAAATATTTAATAATATTTATATGAATTATATAAGCAAACAGTTTCGCGGTAACTCAATAACTCGTCATTAAACACATAGGTTACATGAACGCTGAAATCTGTGCGTGCACGTGTAGTGTTTCGTTTTCATAGTTCGCAGTTTTAAATGACCAAAACTCAATATCAAGTTATTTTTTTTAACGTGAGATACGCCATTATTTCTTATACTATAAAGCTTTTGATAATTTTTTTTTAGATATATTTTTATAATTTGTTAAAAATATTTTTTATTAATAATATATATTTTACTTTTTTAACCATAACATATATTTTTAATTCTTTATTTCAAAGTTTTATATTGCTTCCGAATGTGAAATTAAAAATGTAAATAACTATTCAAAAAAGTAAAAAAGTTTTAAAATAATATTACATTAAAAAAAAAATAATAAAAATAGAATTTTTCCAAAAACACAAGTGTCTTACGTTTAATGGATCGCCTCATACTACATGCATTAGCCACAGTATCAATCGCATTAATTACGGTCTAATTACTATTGGTTTAACATTAGGTATATATTTTAGATCATATGTCATATGTACAATTAGAGTTAAATAATTGTGGGACCGACGCGCACGTGTTTGCCTTAGGACAACAACTTATGATGTAGCACCGGTATTCGCCACCCGCAAATACGTGTGCAGAGTAATTTTGGATTTTATTATAAATGTACCTCTTTAGTTAAATCACTACACACAAACACGTCGATAGGGATAATAAGATTTAGACTGAACATTGCGTGCGTTAAAAATGCAGTACGTAATTGGACTCATTCCCTACGTTTCATAAATATTCCTTCTGATTTACAGAAACAGTTAAAATTGACAATATTTTGGGTTTGCGTAGTGCCTCCATTGGAACGGACCTACCCAAGTCTAGACGGTAAATACACATTATAAGTATATTGTTAAGTACTACACGTTTCCCGACTTATATCCTTCGATTCTCTGTGGATGGTATTCAAACAATGATTGATATCATAATATTATATTGTATTATTATTATAATTAGGTACACTGACCATTTTCGATTTATTTACGTAGTATTCCACCATTATACCTACAGCATAAAAATAATTATTTGTCACAAACTTATATGTATATTGCATTTTTTTTAAATTCCAATAATTTTTTGTATACATTTTTCTTAATAAAAATGCTGGATAACTTCGGGATCAGTTCAATTTCAAAGGTACCTATCCACTGTTCGTAATTCATTATTTCGGTATAATTAATTAATTTAACAACAGATAATTCAGTTGAATTAAAATAGATGTTTACTAAAGTAAAACACAAATATAAATGATAAAAAGTGCAAAAGTTATGTGACATGAAGCTGCTTTGTACTTCACTTCATCTCCAAATGTTAAACTACAGAATCGATAATGAATGGTGTTTTTGTTACTCTCCTTGGAACAGAGATCCTGCAATTTAGGAAAGTTGCTGTTGTCGTAAAATACGAATAGTTAAATCATAGTTAATTTTGTGAATCGTTTAAATTATATGGGGCCACTATAAGATAATATATATTAGATAAGTCAAAACCACTATATTTATTTTTTGTTTATTAATTTATAATTGATTCCAATTTTTATATTAATTACAATAGCATGTTATCGTTTTTAGCAGGTCCTATAAGATTAAACATTAATGATTTCAGTGAAATTAACATATTTCATAAACAATTCTAAAAATCCTAAAGCTCATATCATTTATTGTAGTTAAAATTTTTGAATTTTTTTTAATGAATGAAGCTACATTTCTCTTTTATTCAGTTACTACGTGCTATTTTAGAATTAATCCAAGACTCTCAACGCTCGTTTAAAATTGTTCTGATTATATTTACACACATCTCTTGAACTGGCATTAACAAACACTCTAATCACATCTAACGCGTAGACGTGTATTTTGTAATAGGTGGAATTCGTTCGATGGGATTTTTGTTAAATTTTTCTATTTCCTACGCGCTGAAAATTGTTTTCGACAACGATAGGAATAGGAATCAAATTAAAAAAATAACAATGACAGTGAAAAAAATACCACGATTTTCTAAAACGTTAAATTTTATTCATCGCAGACATATAGTCTATAGGTATCGTGTCGTTTACCATGTTATTATCTAATCTTTTAAATAATGTCTTGTGTTTTGTATGCATATGCCGTCACTCGAGTAGGTTTATTTCTCACACATGTAATTGTAGTAATTTATTTACAGCTTTGGATCGTGATGCGCGTACTTACATCAGAAATAACGAATTACAGCGATTCGACGGAATAGATCTAATGTATTGTTGTAAACACAATATATTATTATGATCTCACACATCGAGTCATAGATACTCTGCCGCAGGCAACCGTTTCTGACACTGTGTAATTGAACGGTCCGCTTTATCAAGTATCAGCTCTAAATATTGCCTCTCATATATCATTTATTTGGATCACGTATATAATGTATATATTACTGTTCGTCGTAGCTGTTTGTACTGATACGGTGACATGGATATGTACACCTAACGAGTAATGACGTGTGACAACGTTCGAATTAACGCGCATTGTACACACGTGATACATTATGGAACATCGTATTGTTCTCTGCGCGCAGAACCTACGTATATATAGACATTAGACCGTTTATATAAACGTCTGCGTAAAAGTGTCTATAAGTTTATTTGTTTTTTTTTCGCGTTGTCGGTTTTAAATAATCACTGACGGTATATGACCCCCTTAAGCACATCCTTTTACAAAGCTGTCAGAATAGGTTTTGCACTTCGACCGCGTCCTCGCGGTAGTCCCATTACTATTAATACAAGTCTTTGCAACAAAAACCGACGATAGATTTACTAACCATTCACATAAATAAAAAAAAGGATTTATGAACTACAAAATGGTCTGTTGTTTTTGTCACTCATAAACTTTTCAAACATTCTCGTGTATATATATATATTTGTATATAGCTTTAAATGAATTCTTAATGTCCACATACCACAATTGTGAGCTGTGTCGTAATAATACCTAAATAATAGTTTTGGTAGTAATGGTACAGACAATAACAGTGGTAGTAACAACTTACTCTTCTTTGACGAAAGTTTATGCGCGCAACAAAGTTTTTATAAATACCATACAAAAGCAACGAGATGATGTAATGCGGTAAAAAACTGTGCAAAGCGTATCAAATGTGTCAGAAAATAATATATAATACTGCACAGTGAAACTACGAAGTATAATAATATTTACGTGCGCTTTATCCGGGTGTATGAAAAGAGAAACCAATAAGGTCAATATAAACGTCAAACGTGTAAATATTACAAATTTCAAGTACCAATATCGCAAAATTCTCTTATAATCATCGGAAAGTGAAAAGATAACATAATCAAATTTATCAATAGAATCTAGTATATATAATATATAATAATATGAAAGCAATCGTTCGATGATATTATTTAACACATATATATATATATAACGTTAAAATCATGCGTTTGTTCATAATAATATAATACGAATAATGGGCATTACAGTTAGGTTATAAATTATTACTTAAATAATAACACGTTTAGAAGTATATGAAGAAGGTTTATCTCAAAACGACCGCAATGTTCGAGGTTGTCGGTAGCAGAAAAGGTAAATATATATATATATGTAATATGTATGTATATAACGGGTAGGATGTAGTAGAAATAACGACGTTTTTCTATCCCCGAGTACCCACATTAACCGGTGTAGTATATTATAATATAAGTCATATACGAAGTATAAACGAACAGTACCTATTATATATACAAGATCCCACACGAATTTCTCCTCATTAACGGTGACGCGGGAAGGTATGTATATTGTTTTTTTTTTTTTTATTATTATTATTATTTCCTTTACAATCGTTAATAACGCGTCGCTCATTCATATATTATGGTATTATAAACCCTCTCCCGAACCGTAGGTATTTGCGAACCGGAAAATGAACGTCAGAATACGCATATAATCCCATTATATGTCCCGGATTTAAGTGAAGTGGCAATAAATTTTGGAGTACAACATCGGATCTAGAGTCCGAATGTTCGAAATTAATTTTGACCCCGCCCCCACTACCTCTTTTTCTTCCTACTCTTTTTTCTCCTTCGCACCCTACTCTTCTTACGACCCCTCAACTCGCCCACAATTACCGATTCAAGGATATTTTAATCTAAATCGCATTTATTTTCTTGTTGTTTTAGGACCAGACCTACCCATCCAGGACCCATCGTGCACCTTAGCGATAATCCTGCAGATTCCAGCAAGGTAAATCTACGAATATATATATATATATATATATATATATATATATATATATATGATACACAGAATATTGTGTTTATTTACCTATCTTTGATTTATTGACACACGTCAAATTATAAGTTACTTGTATAATATTAATATATATATATATATGCATGTTTTTCTATATTTAATGTCTAGGTATAAAAATGTGCCACGACACAGTAGAAAAGTCATCTTTAATCGATCTATAATGAACTGAAAAAAACACAATTTTTATTATAAAACAATAAAGTGACATTTTACTTATTAAGGATATTATGTTAATTTACCTAACACTCATTGAATCTCAAATTTCATTTAATGTAATAAGAGCATATGATAATATTCTTCATCAACTACAAGGTTATTAAAACGCTCTGATTAGAATCATAATAGGTAAAAAAAAAAACTATAAATATCCTATCGAAACACTGTTTAAAGAATTTAACGTTTTGAATATTAAAAACTTAAGTTTCAAAATAATTATAGTATACATAAAAAAAACATAAGCTATTTTATCCTTTGAACTATAGTGTTAATACTAAGTATGCATTATATAAAAATCCCCAAACTTGATCAAAACGAACTACTTATCAAAAGGCTATTAATGTTATTGGGATTATTATTTACAACTCTATGCCTAGTTATTAATAAAAACCACTATTTTAAAAAAAAATTTGACACTGGCTAATGTATAAATGTGACAATACTAATACATGAGATCAATGAATTTACTAAAATTACTCAATTTATTTCTTATTATTTTTTTTTTTTTAATCTTATTTTTGTCTCTATTTTACACTATACAAGCTTCCGCTCTTAACTTTTACACATGTATGTATAAAATGTTAACATGTAAGATATAGATAACCCTGAGCCTTTATACTAGTTATGTCAATGAGGCCCAGTAATTTATAAAAAATTTTCAATAAAAATAAAATAAACACGTATTAGAAGGGTAAAGATTTGATTAAAAACAAACAATATTGGTATATACATGATTATAATATCAATCAATAAGTATAATATAATAACAATTCTAGATTACGTGTGAGATTCAAAATATATATAGTTGAAGTTATTATGATTAGAATTGATCCCTAATAAAAAGTAAAATATTTAAGATAAGATACTTTATTAAGTAAAATAAAATGCTGTACTTATAAACTTTATCTTTACATATTATATTAAAAAATAATAATAATAATAACTTAAAAACAAATTAAATTAAATAACCTAAAAATATTTTGATTTTAAAATTAGAAAACCCTGATTTGATTTGGTTCTTTTAACAATAATAGATATACGGAGAGAGAAAATAATTTACATGTACAGTTTTAATATATTATTATTATTAATATAATAATTACATTAGTGTCAAGAAGTCGGTGTTGAAAAAAAAGAGCTCTTAACTTTGAGCCTCTGTGTATATCGATTCATATTGAATACTGTATACAATATCTTTTGTGCTTTAAAGGTCGTTGTAAATATTTTAAATTGTATATATAAAATATATATTTAAGAGTATGTGTGTGTGTTTTCACGTTTATGAATAGAAATTTTATGGATAGCTTTCGAGTAGGCTTTCTTTCTTTAATTTTACGTCTGTCTACTTCAGCTACGGTAATTAATTCAATTTAAAGTTCACTGAGTTTACCACTTTAACGTGTACAGTAAAGATCTCATTATTTAACATATTCGCTTTTCATTCAGAATAAAAAATAAAATTCGTGTTTTAACTACAATGATTTTATTCGTACACCGCACACGATGGTATAATGTATCTGTTGTATATAATATGAATATGACCTATACTTTCATATTAACGATCGACAATTTTGACTTTACGGAATTTGATTGTTTAATGTTCTTTGTTGATTATAATATGTATTCAGATTATTATTATTATTAATTTCGTTAACATCTGAATTCATAATGAGCAAGCTATTTGTATTATCTTTGACAATTTTACTTTCATTATTTTATTTGATGTGTATACGAAGAAAATCATATTGTATTGTGACATTACGAAACTCATTTTAAAAATAAATTGTAAAGGATTTTTTTTTTTTATTGTCGTTTTTTCTCTGAAACCCTTCTAAATTTAATTGGTCAATTACTTTGGCAAGATAAAACGCCTAATGTCTAATGGAATAAGTATGAAAATTAAAAAGGTAATAGTGATTATTTTATTTATGATAATCGATCAATGGAAACTACTAGACAAAATACAGATAATACCGAAAAAATAATATGGCTTAGTAAGTTGAGCCATACGTAAGAAAGGTTACAAGTGACATTAGGTTATAATTTTTTTTTTCCTAAATACAAACACTTTAATTGTTTAATCCACCTAAATTATTTATTCTTGAAGTTTACTTATATGTTAAGTAAATAGTCTAAACTTGTTGGTTAGGTGATTGGTCTATAATATTCGTTAACAACGTGAAGTGTTGTTCTTTTCCAAAATTTTAGTAATTGTAATTTAAATAAAAATTATTATTTTCATCATTTACATTCAATATAATATATTTTATACCTATCTTTATAATCTTAGTAAGCAAACGAATTAAGATACACGCGATAAACACACATACTTGCAGCAAAACATTACATTGTCTGATCATATTCTCTCACATTTTTTATGGTAAACAATTATTTTCGCCCGTATTTATACCTAACAGAATTACTATACTACAAAAATAAAATCTTAAAATTTTTTAAAACTTATAGTTATCACATTTTTTGTATTCAATTTTAAAACTAGAAAAAAAATAATATTTTAAAAAAATTTGTTTGACTGCACTAAATTTTTGGTGTCTAAGTCTTTTCAAGCCCTCCAAATTTTTACCCATGAAAAACTGTAATAAAAAACAAATTTTGTTTAACATTGATTGATATTATTGATAAAAAATAACTTGATATTAATGTACTATTATGTAAGAGACTGACTTAAGTTGACTAACATGTTTGGTATTTAGACTTAAAAGGAATTTTTAGTGCTACAATGACGTCCAATAACTTGAATATAATATTATAATTCAATAAATTTATTAACAATATTATTTACCAGTTACTTATTGGCTTCGAGACTGGCCTAATGGTATTGTGGGACCTGAAGACAAAGAAACCCGAATGCCGCTGGCAATGGGGTGATTCGCTCAAGTCTATAGATTGGCATTTTGAAGGGAAACAGTTTACGTGCAGTCACAATGATGGCAGTCTAACTACGTGGAATGTCAAACCGTCTTCAAAACCAGCAAATATAATTTATCCTCATGGTGAATATTTATAAACTATGCTTATAACAATTAGGTTACTATTTAATTGATATTGCTCAATCGATTTCGTATGGTATCAGTAATACCTAATATAAGTCATCCGGAAAATTAGTTTACAGAATATTTACATTATTAAAAATTAATATTTACCTAAATATCATCTGATTTAGATTTTCATTTAAAAATTTAATGCAAAAAATGTAGTTGGAATATGTATGTTAATTATATATTTTCACAGAAAAAAATAAATTAATAAATATTTTAGTTTCTAAAACTTTCGTACTACTCGTACATAACATATAATTCTAAATAAAAAATTTTACCAAATTTTAAGAATCATGATAACATTCTTAAACTTCATATAAATATATATTTATAAAATGTTTTTATTATATGTAGATATCAAGTAAAAATGTTCATAATATAATTAATGTTAAATAATAGTAGATATAATCAAGACTTATATGCTAATATATTGTTTTATTATATTAATAAGTATTTAAAATAAAAAATTTGATTTATTATTTTGCAATTCAAAAATATGTAGCTTATTTGTGCACTATTTTTATATATAAAATAATATAAAAATAAAATATATTCAATCTGATTAAATTTTTTTTCTCATTTTTAAACAATACGAATACTTATTAAGATGCATTTTTATTAGATTAAATTATTTTATTATTATTTATTGAACACATAAATATCAATGTATCGTTTTATTTTAATAACTAGATACTAAAATTTAAAATATTAAATAATATTTCTTTGAGAAATAACTTTTAAAATCAATAATTTAATTTTTTAAAGTTTATTCGTTCTAATTCAATTTATAATAAACTTTTTTATGTAACCATTAGATTATTTTATGTTTTACGGTCAGCAAACATTTGATAATGATAATTATAATTATTTTTATTTACTTGCTGTTTAAAAATAAAGTTAATGACCGTTTTAACCTGTATAATTGTTAAGAACTTGGAATGGACCTTAAACTTAAGCCATCTAACTAAATTACTAATTATTTTTCTTCAGATTAAATTCAATTATATTTAACTACTCTGCTCCCCCTCCGCAAAAAATTAATATTTTTAAACAAATACTATAATCTTTTTGTTTGATTTATATATGTATATGCTTATATTTATTTAATATTTTTTTAGCAAAAAATAAAACTGATTCATGCAAGCCAATTCAAAAAGTTGAATGGAAATCATCAAAATCTGGGTAAGTTTACAGAAATTAAAAATATTTTTCAATCAATAATATAGGTCTACTAATAATCTGCCGTAACTGAATTTTAGTTGATGTACAATAGTTTATTTTTCTAATACTACTTTATATATCTTTCTATACACTATACACATATAATATTCTTTAATGCTACCCTTATGCTTTTAAATCACACTATTCTCACGATTTTCCGTTATGTGTCATTGCCAGCGAATCGTATTTGATATTTTCCGGAGGGTTGACCGCCGATACTGCTGGCCGCGTGCCCAGCATAACGATCATGCACGGAAAAACGACTACCGTTCTTGAAATGGACCACAACATCGTCGACTTCGTTACGCTGTGCGAAAGTCCTTACAACAGCGGTTAGTACCTATATTTATGTAATAAATGTTATAAAATTAGACGTTTATTTGGCTGACGTACGCACGTCAGTAGCGTATTATTTACGGATCGGCTGAAGGTAGGCAGCAGTATTTGATTGAACCCTTGAAGCGAACAATACACTGCGCATTACTATTAATATATAAGTAACGATAATGCATAATATAACCACCACAATTAAATACAAACTTCCATTTTTATTAATTTTAATTCCTCTATACTCTTGTGATCTAACGTGTAAATATACAGATACGCAACTACTTACCGCTACGATTATCGATTTTGTAATTCATACAAAACTGTTCGATAAATTGGCCTACGAAAATATCGGTTAGGTTAATTTTGTAAGCTGAAATAGTATTATCAATATAATATCGTCTAACCGTCACTCTATAACGACTTTACTATAATATGTTAACCGGTATTCGAGATAAGGTACGTAGAATATGTAAACGTCACACGTGTTATCTCACGTCGCCATTATAATTGATTTTGAGTCTGTAAGCTTTTCTCGAATTTTCGTTTTAAGTCCACATACAGTTTTGAATTATCATTATAGTAATGGTTGGGACGTTATTATTTTAGTTGTTTTACTTCGCCAAGGCTTCTTTCAGTAGAAGAATAATATTTCTCTATCGGCGTATACCCAGGGGCGGATCCTCCAGAAATTTATCAAGGGAGGGGAGAATAAATTGTCATGCCAAGCCCCGATTGACAGTTTATCGTAATTCTTATGGGTAGTGGGTAACCTAACGTAAGCTCAAGGGGAGAAGGGGGTATTAACCCTATTATCCCCCTTGGATCTGCCACTGCGTATAACGTTTTTATTTTTATTATCAACAAAAAAATCTACTGTCAACGTTAATCTATAAATTCTTCCATGCATATAAAGCACTGTGTTTATTTTTCTGATACAATTTTTATCATGAAATAATGTTACAATCTTAGAAGGTATACAATTTTTGAAAAATTAATTAAAATGATTCGTAAAAAAAAAAAAAATGATTTATTTATAAAAAAAATACTTAATTTAACTTTAAAATTGTAATAGGGGAAATTCCAAAAATTTAGATAAGTACTGTATATTAATATATAATAATTTACTAAATATTTTTATTTAATCTAGAATGAAACATAACGGATAAATTATCAACTAATAACAAATTTGTAATAGTTTTGTATTATAATTACAAACATAATTATACAACTATGATGACTAAACAGCAAGGATTAGAAATATGTATAATTTGAATGTGGGTAGTGCGTATACGCCAGAGGAAAATATATTATAACACAAAGCTTAACTTACTCAGTCTAAGGCAATAGATGATCGCCAAAAACCATCGTATTGTTACGAGTAGAGTCAGAGGATTTAAATTGTAAATACTGTACTATTTCTATGTGATAATATCGTAAAAATTTATAATTACTATTACATTATTGAAATATAACGTGTATATATTATTTATTTTTAGAAATGTTTAAAATATCAGTGAATTATACTTAAAAAAGAAAAATAATATTTATAATGATTCGAAGATTGTGTAATTGTTTACACCCAGTGAACACTGCTTTTGTATTGCTGTGTTGTATACATAATAATATTGTTATATTCAATGTGTATCTCATCTATTTTTAAGAAATATATTTCATAATATACTAATATAGGTACTATATCATACTACTTGAAGAGTCCTTGATGTTTGATATTTATTGAGAAACAGGGAAATGTTTAATCATTTAAAATATATATACACCTATTACAATATTCAAAATCATAATATTTAAAAATAAAAATGAATAATTACTAATATAAGTTAATTAAATTATTGACTGAAATTAAAATTAGTATTAGGTACAATCAATTATATAAAGTTTTTATTGTTTATTTAATTTTAAATTCATTATTTATATTTCATTGTAATATGATTTGTTTCTTATTAGTAGTAGTCAAAAACTATAAAAATCAATTTAAATAAATAAGTAACAAGTACTTAGAAGAATTACAAATTAATAAATTATAACTAAGAGAAAACTTTATTTAAGATAGTCCTAAAAGGAGGTTAAGTTTGAATAAATTTTGACAAATAGCCATTTATAAATTAGCAAGATCAATATATCTTAACACCTATCGATTATGCTTACTATACGTTGCTGACGAAATTCCATCTGGATTGTTATAAATATCTTTTTATACATATGATTACTAATTCTATGTCATAATCTGTACCTTCAAACGTATTACCATAACATAATCACCATGTACTTACCTCATCATCTTGGCTTTATCAGTTATTAATCACTAATCGTTTCGGTTTCCGTCATGTTAGATGTTCAAGAACCGTACGCCGTAGCGGTGCTCATGCAAAACGACCTGGTGCTGATCGATCTCCTTAGTTCGGGATACCCGTGTTTCGAGAACCCACATCCGATGGACATTCACGAGTCACCCGTTTCATGCGTCCATTACATAGCTGATTGTCCATCGGACCTGATACCGGCATTCTATTCGGTAGGCTCGAGATCCGCATCCAAACGGACAGGCTACAGCGAGAATAAGTGGCCCATTGCTGGCGGAGAGTGGAGCCCAACATCCTGCAGCTACAACGAGATTATTCTCACCGGGTGAGTAGTCCAAGACGTTATTAGTTATTACATTGCGTAACTTTTACTGTTTATACTTTATATTGATGGTTATGGTAATTAACTAAATGTTTATAATACGCTCGACGACGGTGTTTTTAGTTTGTTATAGTATAAGTAACATTAGGCTTTATTAATAAAATATTGTACTTTTTTTGTGCATAAGAAATGTACATTGCGATCGTACTTATTTGAATAATGTTGAAAAAAAAATTAAATTAATTTTATCGATTCTATATGAGTATATAAATAACAATAGAACAAAGCCTAATCTATTGTTATCTTTTTAAATTCTAAAGAAATTAAATGAGCTCCAAGGAATCGTTCATATTTTAAAGGAGCTAAAGAAAAATAAAAAAAAATTGAAAGATATCATATAGCGACTGACGTAAGAATGCGTATTATATAATATTTTATATTTTAAAAAATTATTGTTTTTATAATGTGTTTCATTATTGTGCCGGAGTATAATATTTATGTTAAAATAACTCTTATTATTGATGTATAAATAGATTTCACACAGACTATACTACTAACTAAAAAATTATAAAACAATCGAGAATTGTAACAACTCGAATGTTTTGAAGATACGATTTAAACATTATTTATTCTATAAAAATCATCATAATTTATTAATTATTTATTTATTAAACTCATTTTTATTTATTTTTTGATATTATAAAGTAATAAATTTATTTTGACCTTTGATATCTCGATTTTTCCTTGGAAAATGAACGGCTAAATAATCCGATTATGCGTGGTTATTTTAGCTACTGTTGTGATTATTTTAGAGCGATTGAATAACAAACTAAGCTTATCGGATTACTCAAAACTTAAAGAATGTCTAATAAAAATGTTTGTTTAGTATCATGAAAAAAAAATGTTGCAATAAATGGATCGTATTTAATAAAAAAATAAGAATTCACGACAATTTTAAACTTCTTCATAGAACTTTATAATAAAAATAATAATAATAATATCATGTTTAGAAGTTAGTTTAAAAAGTTCAACAGCTCGTCGCGGTATTTGTGAGAAGAATAGATTGACAAATTAAAATGTATTTTAAATTATTATTCTACCAAGTGGCTGATAAATTTAAATGAAAAAGCACTTTTTAAATGACTTTTAAAGTTTTAAACCATTTACTTCCTAAATTTAAGGAAGATTCTAATTAATAAATGCCAATTTATTTTGTAACTGAAATAATTGTAATATGGGTCTAACGAATCATAATTTACTTATTATAATATTATTTTTATCAATAGTTATGCACATTATTTGAGTTTTTATTATATACACTGCAGCTAATTATTTGTGATCCAATTATTACAGACACACGGACGGTAGCGTTCGGTTTTGGGATGCAAGTGCGGGCAGTCTACAAATATTGTACAAACTAAAAACTGCCAAAGTGTTCGAAAAGGCGAGGTCAAAATCACCAGAAGGTGGTGATGAAGATCAATTTTCTGTGCAATTGTTGTCATTCTGTCCGGAGAGCAGAAAATTAGCCGTTGCCGGCATTTCGTCTTACGTCGTGCTATTCAAATTCCGCAAACTTGAGTCCACGTTCGAAACTACGGTAATATAATCGTTTTATTTTATAATAAAATAAATACATGGTAGGTATACAGTAATAATCCCGCTTTATAATACATACGTTATACTTATTTATACATGAAGTCCCTAAAATATACTTAGATACGCCACGGCACACCTAGGTGACTAGCCTACGTAATAAAATGCAGGTATCGAAAACGTTTTTAAATATCAATCGTGATTAAATCGTTTTTATATAGCAATGCAAAGGCGTTAAGTTTTTTTTAATCACATATTTACTATCTAAATATATAAACCATAAATACTGCATAACATTGTGGATCATCAACTAAACACAGTAGTACCAAATATAGACTGTAGTCGAGTGTACGTTATATATTATGTTTGCTTGAAGAATATAAACAGTGTATACAGAGCTAATAGGGTAGAGAATATATACTATATGCAAATAAGGAAAGACCTGAACCGGATATTTGTATAAAGCTATATATCAGATTTAAGTGCAATAATTCTGTTATATAGTATATGTGTGTTGTTTATATAGGTACGCGTTGTTATATGGTAAATATATTGTTTAGTAGAACTTTAAAAATCGTCGATAATAATGATTTATACATATACATATACAGTATCTACGTGTTACTATAACATATTTTACTCTTTAACTCTTAAAATAGTTCATATTGATCCTTTTTGTCTGAGTTGTTGAACATTTCAAGTGATTTCTAATCTGTATATGTATATCAGTAGAACCGTATTGTACACAGGCCTACATTTCAAGATTTTTTTTTTGGTAAACATTCTTAATTTAAGTATTATAGTGATATTTATTTTATATTAGAAAATAATATGTTTAAAAAATATATACCGTATTTCATTAGAATACTATTTAAACAAATTGATTTTATTAAAGAAAATATATAAAATTGAATATACTAACATGAACAGTGACCAGTCGAGTAAAATATATTATAAATGCTACACTTCTTTTATCTAAATATTATTCAATAATATTTTTAATCAAAATTAATACCTTTTTATAATTTAATGAAATATTATATTTATTTTGGAGAAAGGTAAACAATTAAACATGCATTTTGTATCAGTAAACATTAATTTAAATAAATTATATATTATATATTATTAATGAAAAAAATACTTGCATTTTCTTAATTATAAAAGTTATTTTTTTATCTTTTTTTAATAAACAAAAATAATACATTTAAATAAATCATAGTTGTACTACTTTAAGTAATTTTTAAACTATATTAAACTATAACTGATATTATTGATTTTTAACTACATTATACATGTTTGAATTACAGTTATAAGCAATTACAGTCTTACAAATAAGTTTCAGAAATAAATAAAAAAATATAGAATAAGTTTCATTTTAAAAATTTAGATATTATGGGTCTTTTTGGAACGTTTGGCTTAATTTCATTAATAAAAAATCAATTTATTTTTTATAGTCAAATATTTTTTTTTTTAGTTGTTTATATACTCGTTTATTGTTTTATTTTTGAACAATGTTAAACATTTTTTATCATAGTTTTGTAATAATAATGACTGCCATATTTTTAATATTCTACAAATTATTTTATTTGACAGTTGACGTGTCTTTAATTAACACTTATTATGATTGAATTAATCAAAAATGCTAATATTTTATATAATTAATTTTATTTCTATGAATTAATAGAATATGATTATTATAAAAAGTAATAAGGACGTAAATGTTCACTTAAAAATAAGGTTTTATTAGAAATTATTTTTCTAAAGTAATAATAAACACTGCTTTTTAGCATGATGATTACCACTCATTTTTTTATTTAATATTAAATAAAAACCTCATTTTTATAAATAATTGGATACGTATTTTAAAAAATTCGTTTTACTTAATTCAAAATTTAAATCAATACTTTCTTTGTTATTTATTTTAAGTTTAATAGTCCTTAATTTAATTTATTTTTATTTTTTTATTTTTGAAATTATAAAATAGATTTAATATTGGATCAAATATCGATTTTAATTTAGATTCACCATTTTTACAAATAATAAATTTTGATAAATTATTATTAATTTTTAACATTTTTAAATCACCATAACTCCTATATATATTTTAAACTCATTATTATAAACTTAACATTCTATATAATACACACAATTGAATTATAATTTAAAAACTACATGTTTAAATTTTGATTTTGACACATCAAATTCTTCAGAATAATTATCTGCTAAATAATTTTTTAAAAATTACAAAAATCAAGTTTTCAATAACTGCATTATTAAATAATAAAAAAAATAAACATGCTTATTAAATTATCCCGTATAGTAATAATCTTCCTTCTACAAATTGACTTTGCTTATTGTTATTTTCTGTTTAATGATAATAGTCAATTAATTACCAAATTAAAAATACAATTTTCATATCTATGTGTTTTTAATTTTTTGAATTACAACATGTAACGATATACAAAACAATAATTTAATTATTAATTTTTATATTTATTTATATTTAATGTTCATTTACGATACTTTATTTTCTATACAATTTTCTAAAATATGAAAGTTTTCTTAATATTGTCTTGCCATTTGAGTTAATTTAAAATGTCGTTAATGTAATTTTAGGCGCTTGTAATTTCGGATGTAATAGTTTGTACAATTCGACTATAATTATTTACTTATGGATTTAAACTTTTAACTATTAACATATACATTTTTAATACTGAAGTTTCTTTCTTTTTATGACAATTTTTTAATATTTAAATAAAATAATAAAGACCGAGAACCGTAAAAATAACACCTAATATTTTTAATTTTTAATAAATTCAATTGCATTTTAATGTAAGCAATTTTATCTCAGACCCACGGGAGATATATAAAAAATTAATATAGCTTAAACAAATGTTGACTTTTCCCCTCGATTTTTATAATAATACATGTGGGTAATAAATAATCACGTACGACCCGGACACAGTTCATCGGTCGACTATAGGAATGCCAATTTTATCAATTATAGTATTGTATTGATCTCTTTAATATCATGATCCGTGATGTGAATTATTATCATAATAATATGTAAAATCATGATATCTCTGGTATTTGCAAAATGCTTTATAAAAAAACCAACAAATAATTGTTAAACAATAAATACATTTGTAACCATTATGTTCCTATATTTGTAATTTGAATATTGACGTATAGCACGCTGACTCAATGGTTAAGATAATTTCAAGACTATTCCGTTTCAGAATCAAGTTGATTGTATACTGTGTTAGAATCGAGTGAAAAATATAGTGCAATTACGTGATGTAATAATCCAAAAATATTAAGTTTTATATTTAAAACTAAATTACGTTTCAATTTTATTTTTATAACTGTTAATCACCTGAGAAGTGGAAAAAAGTTTAAAAACATTATCAATAACTCTAAAAATGGTATAAAAAGTTTCGACACTAAAATCGTGTGTGATCGAAAAATATTGAGCCTATTTCATTAAAACATAAAATAGTATGAAATTCGGGTTCCGATGATGTTAATTTTATGTATTACGTAGCAGCTACAATACACTAACATTAACAGTCATGATTTTTTCATACATAACAAATTATTATAAAAATTGCGTTTATAGTCCATTTCCAGATTAAATGTTTTAGACAAAAAATCCTATTTGGTATAACTGGAGGCGATTTAATCAAACAAGCACAATGGTTATACCAATCTTATAACTATAACTAGGATTTAAATGACCTAAAAAAAAAAAAAATATGCATAAAGACCTAAAAAATCTAAAAAAAATGAACTTAAAGATGATCAAAAAATGTATTTAGGTGAGCGAAAAAAATTTAATTTTAAAATAAATATTATTGCTATTAATTATTATTTAATAATTTTTTATATTACACAAAATAAATAAAAATTTGTTTTAAGAAGAAAACTAAACAAATGTATTCAAATTTGAGTTGATAATTAATTATATTACTTTTTTAATATCAATGAACTAGAGTAGGTAATTGAGATTTTACCTACACAACATATTTAAAAAAAAGTTAAAATTAACAAAAATGAGTTTAAATACACATAATTAACGAAATATTTGTAAAAATTACACGTTCTAAATTGTTATATAACGAAACTGTTTTAGTTTTTGATTAGAACTATATAACACTTAGAGAAAAAAATGCAAAAGTCATCAAAATCCTAGTTCTACTCATAACTATACTACCGTTTGTGAACAATTTTTGGAAATTGACGTATATTTTTTTTTAAATTTTTTTTTCAATTGCCTGTGGATCTCGCTTTTAAAACTGTTACAGTATTATCTCTAAGTCACTGAACCAGATGATTAGGTCTCCTTTGTTAATGACACTATTTACTACAGCATAATATCTTCATTATTGTGGTTGTATTTTGCAGACGCTCGAGATACCGATATACTCGGAGAGTCTGGACGAGGCCACCGAGAGCTCACCGGAAGAAGCGCCATCGAAACCGTCAGGCGCATCCGACGATAGTTCTGCGCTAGTTAAGGTCCGGGCCGGGCCTCAAAAGAAACCACCCGGCTTCCAGGCATGTCTGGCGTGCGTCACGCCTTCCACCAACGGCGAACCACCCGGTCAGATTACCGCCCTCACAGTTAATTCATCGTATGGACTGTGAGTACATACATTATATATAACCCGGTACATAATATTATTATGATATTGTCACGCCGACCTAGTTGGGTTGGCGCGTAATCTTTATTTGGCGATGATGGAAAACCATAGATCAACTATTCGTATTTTCCATAATTATGATACCTAATATAATATAGGTACCATGAAAAGAATCTCCGCGGATATAATGTTATTAATGATTTAAATTATTCTTTTAAATATTCGACTTTAATATCGTAAATAATATATTTGTTATTTGTAAAAATATTAAAGCGCAATAAGTTATATGTTGTTGATTTAAAAAACAAATATATATATATATTTAATTAATTATTTTTATTTTATCGAACAGAAGGTGTGGTTATTTTATAGATACTCTTAAAAATAAACAGTTAAAAAAAAACTGCTATAAATTTTCATAGACATTTTTTGACTTAGAAGAGATTATCTTTTTCGGTCCAAAATAGTAATGTCCAGTTAACCAGTGGTACAGACCACGGGAAAAATGATATGACCATCATATCGTTTGACTGACACCACTTAAAATGACCAGAGGTTAGGCGTTTTGACATCTAGGTCATATAATATTATATTTTGTAATAGTTACAAAGTAATTATAAATATGCTATATATCGATGGTCAGTATTATATACTGTACGAGTAGATACGATAAATCGCATTGGATTTGTATTGCTAGACAAGATAGGATCATGGAGTGAATAATCTAGAGAGCTTTATACGCCCCATACCCATTCGACAAACATTTTGTGTTCACCATTGCAGACGTATTGTACAGAGTGATTTACCAAACACCACCCCCATTTTTCGATTTAATACTTGATTAATTTAAATTCTGGTTTTCAGAACTGTTAAATATATTTAAATGTCATACTTTAAAATATTAAAATTTGTATTCAGAGATATCATGTAACGATATAAACTCTTGTTTTAAATTTAAACCGATATTTTTATATTGTAAATTATGAAACTAATAGTTATGGTTTTGAATTTTTATATATCTGTACAAGAATTTGAAAGAATAATATTTTGAGTTATTTAACATTGTGTACCTAGTAGTATTATAGGTTCATGAAAATGCATTGGAAATATGATAAAGGTTATGAAAGTAAAAATAATAAAATAACTAATATTGATCTATAAAAATTTTATAATTTGTAAAAGTATTCATGTATATATTCATGTACTCGTGTGATACCAGAAATGTTGATATTTAGAAAATTATGATTACTATCTATTTGTAATTAATATTAAAACAAAATGCTGATACATAATATTATCGAATTAAAAATTAATAAAAGTACTAAGTAGTATTATTCATTATTATTTTCTCGTTGAAATATTTTTGCATATGATTAAAAATATCTAGTTTTCGTAGATCGATTAAATATATATTTATTAATTATAGTTAATTTAAATTATTTAATTATTATATTTGTTTTCTATAAAAAGTACTAAGTTACTAGTACATGCCATTCAGTTATTTATCTTCAGTTTTCTCGTTTTTTGTTTTTATTTATTTCTCAAATTTTAAAGAGTCAATTTTATCATCGGTATGTCATATCAAAAACTAGGTATACTGGTAATATTGGTAGTATATTATTTTATAACACTTGTACACTTACACATAGTTGGTACCAGAATAGGACGTTATTTGAACGTAATTTTATCTAAATAAAATTTTACACAATTCTGTATTAGGCACAATAATAACATCTTCGAAATTGATACATAATATTATTAATGAGGTACATACTGCATACAAGTCGACTTACTAAAATAATTATAACCATTCTATAATACATATTTTATATTTGTATTATGTTTTGAAATTAATCGAATATATTTTTAATCGAATAATTATAAAAAAAAAAATGATTAAAATACATATTTATTCGAATAATTATCTAGGTAAAATTTTGCACTACTCTGATTAGTACATAGATTTATAAAACGCTTGAGTCTGCACATAACTACAATAAACATCACGTAAGTAACAATAACATTGCCTAATAAATTACAGAAATTTTCTAAAATGTCAATAAATCTGGTATATACGTAATATAGTTATGCAGAAACTACTCGTTTGAATTTTAAATCATCTGCGCAATAATTTATATAAAAAAAGATTGATTTTTGTTTAAAAAAAAATAAGTTTGTTTTGCCATAGGACATTTCTTAAAATGTATAAATTATCTAAATAGTTGCAAATATAATCTTTTAAATAAATCTATCGTTAAAAAAAAAAAAACGAAGGTTAAGCATTCATGGCTAATCACTCTGTATAGTATCGATGTAAAATATAATAATATACACCAGCATTTTATAATTACCACCTGTTTTTGTTATTTTCGACATATTATGGTGATTCTTCTATCTTGTTGAACCAGGCATTATCTTACATAGAGTAAGAAAGTATTTAAATTGTAAAAAAAAAAAAAAAAAATACTACTAATCTCGGAAGAACGTAAAATATTATATTTTTTAACGTTTAGAAATAATAATAATTGAAAAATGCCTAGAATTTCGTTTGATTTCGCCTGATTTATGATAGAAGTGCCGTTCTATAAGTATACCTATATAATATTATGTCATCGCTTTTTTACAGGCTCGCCTACGGTTTGGATAATGGTATTGTGATAGTAGACTTTATACAAAAATGTGTTCTCCTAAATATCAGCACTGCCGACATGTACGGCAGTGCGGACCCGTACCAAAGAGCTCCCAGGTCGCCGAAACGAACAACCGCTTTGAGCGAGACCAGCGACGGCGAACGATGCCGATCCCCCAGTATCGATCAGGTAATATATTTTTGCTTCGATTCAATTTTTCCGTCTTGCACAAACAACAAATAAAATAAAGCGCACTGTATCGAAGAAAATGAATTATAGATAATATTTACCTAGGGCATTCGATTCGAACGCAATTCCGTCTTAACGAAAACACCAACAGATGTCTTCCTAATGTTATACCTATTATATAAATTTATGTAAAATACACTTTGCCGACAATATTTCAAGTCCGCCGGGCTTTGGCGTAATTTTCCAGCAGACGAACATTAAATACCTTACGCGATGTCGCACTATACTTATACACCTATACAGTATACACATATAAACATTAAACATACATTATATTACATTTATCACAATAAAAAGTTTTCAAGATATCATTCCGAACGTTTCGAGGTTTTCTATATAGGTGTATACAGGGTGATCCTGAGGCACACCTACATGCGTGTCGACAGATATTTAATACTGACATTTGTGATACATGACAATGATAATAATAATAATACTACGTTTAGGCATTGTACACGTGCCTAGTCGTGAAGAACTGTTACTGATATAATATTATCTTTCAAAAAATATCTTGTCGTATATTGATATTTTTATCTTTACGAAGTACGCGGTTTTTACATAATATAAACAATTTGTGTACGGTGACCCCTGCGCCCTGTATACTGACAGGTAGGACATTATCGTAGATTTATAATAATAATAATAATAATGATGAACACAACACACAGTCTTTTTTTTTTTTAATGTCTTTTTTTTTTTAATTTTTTTTTTAATTTTTTTTATTATTATGATTATTATTTTGTTTTTGCTTAATCTATCATCATTAACGTCAAAACTGTCAATCATGATTGAACATTTTCGATTATCCGCATAGAACTATTTATTTTTACATAAAATTAATTTTGCACAAGGGCGGTTACAGTGTAATGCGAGACGAGTTAAGAATATCGATAAGAACATTATCGTCTAACAAGTTGTGATTAATTCAATTTTGTTTTAATACAAAGTCACCGCTTCTAGAAAACAAGTAGGAAGTTTTCGTCTAGTGGTTTCGGTATAATCAGCTTGAGAAGTGACAGCCGCGCAATAAATATTACTGGGAAAAAATATTCAAAACATACTGTATAGAATTTACAGTGAAATTTAAAAGACGTGAAGCTCTTAACTCGTAGCATATTTAATATTTATATATTATAATGTAGGTATATAATAAGAAATTATTCTACCTATACTAATATTTCGTCCATTTCTTGCACTATAATATATTAAATGACTCATCATTTAACCCGATATGTACAAAAAAAAAAAAAAATTATATTAATGCATTTCCATTTATGTTTCATTTTCCGCAATAAAAATTGCTACAACATTTCAAAACTACTCACGTATAATGCAAACTGCTCTATCCAAGTTTGAATCTCTGTGATTATAAAAAAATGTATTTATAATATATATTCTATAAAAAAAACTTCTCTATACTACACGTATCCTTAAACGTAATATTTTCCAGAGTTTCATGTCAGAAGTAATTTTTTGCACGAGTCTGTTGACTTGAATTAATATTAAAAGTTTTGTAACCACCGATATTTTTTCATCTATCTTTCTGTGTAAAAAATACATTAATTATTCAAACTTTTTAACTAAATTTTATGTGACATATTTTCGCAAAATTATGCTCATTTAGTTTCCACTTTTTTTCGTTAGATTCCATGAATTAATAAAAAAAAATATAAAAAGAAAACAAATAAAGTTTATTTTACTCATTTCTCTAGTCTTACATTGAACAGCTTTAAAACACATATTTTTTTTACCTATAATATATACGTGTATTGAACAGTTTTTGTACAATGTAAAATGCGCAGTACTGATTGACAATATTTAGCTAAAAAAATTTGTATTTTTTAAATTATAAAATATAATCCCTTTTTATATAAAAAAAAAAAACATCACTTTATTCAATTAATAGGTAAATGTATACTTACAGTTTTTACTTACATGATTTAACAAATTTACAATTATTGAACTTAATGGCGATATAATAATAAAAGTGTATAAATAAAAATAATTATGTACTATTGAGAGGAAAACCTCAAACTCGAGAATATTTATTTTACAAATGACATAGATATCTGTCTATTTTCGCAGTCTTTACGAATTAACGAGATCAAAAAATATTTCACTGCAATCTTTTGTCATGAGATGATTTAAATAATAAAATTATAGTATATAATAATGACAGCTTCGTCATAGTAAATCTAAATTATATACATCAATTTTCACTAAAATCAGCTATAAAAACTCGAATTAAAATTAGTTAGAATTTAATCGACCAGCAATTAAATCTTGTAACCATTCCAGGCCATGTGTGTTATATTAAAGTATTTAAACTGTGGTAATCATAAAAACGTTTATAAAATATTAACTATCTACACACGATATTAAATAACGGCGTAAAATAGGTAATAAATCTCCACGATATAATAGTATTTATTATATATTTAATGTACCTATCTATAACTAGTTAGAATTACAAATTGAATTTTGACATAATAGACACTTAAAACTTGTTTTTCTTAATATTTCGAACCATTAGTGGATACCAATATTCCGTTGTATTTATGTTCTTCTTATGAATCATATGTGCAGATGAACATAACAACACGCATACCTACTTTACACTAATAATATTATATAATACGATTTACGATTACAAAACACTAAATTTTTTTCGACCGACAAATCCAAGTACTCGCGAAAACGAAACGAGAAACGTTTGGACGGGCGTCGCGAATATGTTTGTGCGGGGAGGGTGGTCGGGCGGCTAGTGCGAGTGGACGGACGGGAAAGGGTTATGTGGTTTAATCGATCGACGTCCACCCATCCGCTCACCAATCCGCCCGGTCCGCTTAAACCACGTGAAACACGGTGGGATATAATATAATGTACACGCGACGTCGTTTTCCATCATTCACGTCTATAACGCGATCGGTCGGACGCAGTTGAAAACTTTCCACGTTTGAAGGGCCTCGAAGACGAAGCCGAGGAACTAGAAGAACTCAGCAAACTGGCCCTGAGCCCGGTGGGCGTGTACTCGACCCAGATATCACCGAATCCCGTCAACTCGGATTGGCCGGACGACACGACCGAGCGGGCGGAAGAGGCGCTCGTCCTGATACCGACGGCCGCGCCGGAACCCGAGGAACCGGAAGAACCGCCCCCGCAGCAGCCGACGCCGCCGACGGTCGCAACGTCATCGGAACCGGCCACCCCAGCGCCGATCAAGGGGAACGGACGTCGGACCAGCCACTCGTGGCGAGGCCTGAAGAAACAGCTGAGTCGCGTCGATCTGAGACTGAAGAACACGTTCATCGCGACGCCAGCCAAGAGCAAGACGTCCACGTTCTACGGCAGCGGTGGCGGTGAACAACCACCGGAAACCGACGAAGTCGGAAACGTCGGCGTCGTCTCCGCGACCGCCACCACTGCTGCCGCCGGTCTGCCTCAAATCATAACCGAAACCGATGGCCAAGAGCAGCGGCCGGACGGCGGTAGCGCGCAGTCGGCGGCCGGTGACCAGTCGGCCGCCTCGGCTGCGGCCACCAGGCCAACGGAACTCAAGCTGTTCGACCGCGACGGCAAGCCGATTAAACCGCCGCGGTCGACCAAAGACCACCGTAAACGGACGTCTCTGGACAAGCAGAGCAACCTGACCACGGGGTCGTCGCGGGACGCCCGACTCTTGTCCGTGCCCAACATCAAGTACAGCCAAAGGGACCTGAGACATAACCGATCGAACAACCAAGCGTTCATCAACCTCATTAAACGACTAAGTAAGTGTTGATATACGAAACCGACAACAGCCATAATATATATGTAATGATATAATGATAATACCTAATAATAATAATAACAACAATAATTGTATGATGGTATGGTGTCGTTGTTGATGATGATGATGTTGTTGTTGTTGTTGTTGTTGTTGTTGTTGTTATCGTTGAAGTTGATTATGACGGTATTGCCGTTGCTGTTGTCGTCTGAGCACTGGTTCTATATAGCGCCATCTGCATTATGATCGACGTGACGTGAAAAACAATGGTTTTTAACCAAAACTGAGTGGAAACCATTAATATTCTTGTGTAGTCATTTAGGTGCGCACGAAAATCCACAAAGAGATCGTTCACTACTTTTTACTCCTCTTCTTTCCTTTCGAACTATGAAATCTCGGCGAACTCGTTTCCCACGTAAACGCGCGCTCACAGCCGCGTCCGCCCACGTCGCGACGAACGTGCGTCGTGGTGACGATCGCCGTCTCCGGAACAAGCTCAGTTACGGTAAAAAACATTAACCACCGAGATCCGTAGGCTCATAATTCAGATGACCTATAATTAATTGTCCGGCGCGCTGTACGCAACTGTAACCGCGCACACTGTCATCTCTCAAACGAAATAAAAACACACACACAACTCGCTTTTATGTATACAAATACCCATATAGTCATCTACACGTTTAATGTTAATATATATATTAATATTTAACGTCAACAAACGATATCGAGTTAATGTGTACACAAATTATCATCCATGTCTCATCATATTGATTTGTATACGTACTCACAGACCCTCAGGTGGATTTTTTCAGGGTGCTGCATGTTTTTTTTTTTTTTTTTTTAATATATTTTTTATGGTACTACATAATAAACCATCACCATAATTTGGAATCATCTTTAAAATATAAGTAACATAATCATCTTTATACTTTTTAATCGTACAGTAATAATTATTATTATTATATTTAACCAACACAATTCAACTTAATATTATTATAAAGTCGTGCACGCTAATGAACAATTTAATAAATTTATTATATACCTAAGGCCGTATAAAATAAGTATTACACGGTCTTGTGTCGAGTCAGGTTATCGTGAGGAATTCGAGTGTAAAAAGAGAATGAATCGGAGCGAACGTTGTAATCAGTTTCAATATAGTTCGATGAATTTTGTCGGTATTTTTCGTTTTAATTTTATTGCCGCGTTCAGCGTATAACGCGTCAATTCAAGTTTTGTTTTTATACGGTTTAAATTCTTATAACATTATATATATTTAATTTTCGATTTATTTATGAAACGGATGGTGCCAATTCGTTACAAGTGGAAAACGCTGACTTGGCGTAGATTATGAGTAGAGGTACTTGGCATACCACATAACCATATTCTATTTAATATTTAACGATATTAATCAGTTGCCATGACGTTACGTCCCACATTTTTGATAGCAATTATTAAAATATAATAAACTTAAGCATTACCATATAGTACGAAATTATATAGAATATTGATGGTTGACGATATTATCATAATAATTTGAGTCACTTGGAAACTCAGTAGTACTCAATTTTTTTTTTTTTTTTGCATAATTTATATTATAGTAAATGTTTTCTAAAATGTTGTTGTTTTTTTTTTATAAATACATATGATACATTATTGCAATTAAATTGAAATTAATGGCCTGCAGTATATATAATATATATAATATAATATATAAATTATAGAATATTAATACATAATAAATTAGCATTATCAGATAGCTTGCGATGTAATTTTCAGTAACATAATATTATTGTTTCCTTCCTTATTTTATTTTAATTAAGTTAATTAAAATGTAAGTAGAAGTCGTTAGTGAACATTTTTGTCTGTATAATAGTTTAATTTAAAACATTGCGCTTATTTATTAGTAAAATGAGATAAATATTTTTACTACATTATCATTATTATTATTTCGTATTTTTCACTTTTGTTTATTTGTTGTCATTGTTATTATTATTTTTGTTTTTAATTTTCTTTATAAACATCAAACCTAAATTTAACAGTTAACATGCCATCCAGCTTCCACAGCAGACATTGTCGTATCTATATTTGATAAACAAAACATTACTATATAATACATAACGTTAATATGTTTCGTATCGTGTAAAGTGATAAGTTTCCTATTAATCCAATTTAATAAAGAAGAGAGATTTACAATATGAATGTGTGTATATATCATATAATGTGTTTGTTTTATTTTCTCGGATATGTGGGTGTTTTTTTCTTTTTAGTACAGGTATAGATTGTTATAAAGTTTGATATAATTATTCATAAATATATATATATTTTTTTTTGTTATATTTTTTTTAGAAAAAAGAAATTTATATATTGGTAACAGTTTGCTTTTTTTTTAATTTAAAATTTTACTGTGTGGTGTGTTCAAAATTAGTTAGATAGTAAAATAAATATATTTACTTATCTAAAACAAATCATGTTTGTTTTGAAAAATTCGTTTTGATATTTATATATGATATATATATATATGTATATACATACATATATATTTATATTTATATAATATATATACGTATATATCTATATATATATATATATATAAATTTAAAAAATACATTAATTTATATAAGTAGTTTTCATTGTAAATAACATTATTGTGCTCTGTAAATGTTTCAAGGAATTTAATGAGACGCGAGAGAGCTGCCCCGACCATAGACTTGGTATATATACCTTTAAAATCTCATGTCGTTTTATTATTTTTCATTTATTTACATTTTTTTTTTCTGTTGTGTTTGGTTCACTAAAAAAGTTTCCTTTAAGTTTAACCACTAACAACAATTTATTGTAAAAAAATATTGTCGTTGATGCGTACCTACGAATAATGGCAATTTTTTTTTATCAATCGCATGGGTTATGGAAAGTTTTTTTTTATTTAAAGTATATTAAATATTTTGTTGACTTGGCCAACAATGTAAATATATATTTATTTATATATGTATACAATAATAGTGTACGTACACGAATTTCTGAATGTCACTTAAAACCCGCCGTGTGAACGTATTACGTAAAAAGCCATGAACACAATTTGGCACGTCATAACAACATAATACACGAGCCTTTGCTGTAATATTATTCGCTTGAGTTCAGAAATTCTGTATCGAAGTGCTATACTATATTATATAACCGTTGTTATTACTATATCTAAGCTGGTTTTCAAATTTGCCTAAGCTCAACGTAACGATTATTATAAGTTGGCCTAAACTTTCCGAAATGTACAAAATGTAATACAATAGTATTATACGTAATAATATTAGCTTGGTTATATATACATACGTATATATAATATAAATTATATATTTTTAGTTCGATATAACAGTATAGTTTTTTTTTATTACGTATCTACGCACACACTTACATTATATGGCAGGTACTTTTAAATATTATATTGGTTTGGGTCATCTGATGAAAAAAAAAGTGACACAAACTAATGATTTTAAATTATCTACGCATATATGTATAAACATATGTATATAACGCGTGTACGCATATACAACTATAATATTACAGCTATATTGTTCTTTTAATAATTCACTTTCTTAGAACAGTAAATTCGTTTTTCTTCTACGGACAAAAGCATATTAAATTTTTATTTTATATTTACGATTTTTACGGCCGTGTTGTTACGTATTATTTTTATAAGCTTTGTTTAATAACACGATTTTAACTTCTACAACACACGCGGAACACGCCAAACCGAATGTAGACAAATATTTACATTTTTCTTTACACAGCGCCAAACGCGCGTGTTCTATATACCTACGCCCATTTATACTACATAGAGCACACACTATTGAGACATGGTCCCGCCTTTGTATATATATTATTGTATTTGAAACGTTTGTAGTATCTATATTATTCGTCTCGCTGGAACTCGTAAAAAGCTCTAGCGCAAATCATCCGAAGCGTTTTTATATTCTCTCACTAGCCATGTCTAGAATGTATTATTATATACAGAGTGTTTATAAAGTCTCTATCAAATTTAAAAATTCCATATTTATTAAAAGAAAAAAAGAAAGATTATAAGAGTAGCGTGAAATAAAAACTATTCTTAAAATAATCATGTTCTAAATAATAATAATTAAATAACAAATGCCAATATGACTCCCACTACAAGTCTTCCAACATAATCACACATAAGACCACAATTATTATTATACGACTATCTACGTATAATATGTACAAAGCAATAATACGTTACGCGGCGTTATCAAGTCTCGCCTGCAATGCCCATAACTTGTTAGGTCAAATCCATTCTTTGGGGAGGAGCATACTAATTAAAAAACCGAAACAAAAATATGAATTTATATTTTATGATAGCCCATAAATCAAATTACATAGCGTACACTGCACGACCAGCATATAAATATTCATCATTGTTGTAGGCGATAACGACCCCGAACGCGCGAGAGCTTTCAGTGTATATATCATAATAAGACGTCAGTCCAGCACTGGTTAGTTTGGGATTTTTAATGCGCTTTTGAAAACATCCTCTCTTGGTACGCAGTAAATATAATATAATATTATTATGTCATAGTGCCACATACTATACTGACCACGGCCGTGTACATCAGATTATATATGCATATTGTACTATTGCTGTTTTATTTGTTTTTCAAGCTCGTAATAAAAGCTGAACAATTTTAACATGATTCTAAACGTGCGCGTAACACATATTTCAATAAATCAGGACTAAAATAATTTACAAGGTTGTGAACAAAACATATCCCAACGCAAATAAAATTAAGAAAAGCTTAAATTACTTCAAAAACGTGCATAATATTTTTCAATTATCGTTTGTCAATAAATAATGAAACATCTATTTGTGTAAATCGACGTCTTTTTGTTAATAATGTCGATACAAATTATATGAAAATTCACAATACCACATTAACGACCTTCTAATATTTTTGAGTGAGTTCAAAATATAAGAAATAATTGTATAATCCTCTATAA